ATAATAAAATCATCTTCAATATATACCCATGACAGTTTAAAATTCCTCCCCAAGGCAATAAACTATTGTGTGTCTTAATCTGTATATTAGCTATAGCATGTATATAAGAATTCCTGATTATTACCTATCCAGTGATAACATCCTGATTATTACCTATTTTAATGTCACATTTGCATGGTCATGAATTCATGTTCAGTAAATACATATGTTTTAATTATTTATTTTGAATTTGAATAAAAGGTATTTCTAAACTAAATTATTAGACATACATTTGACATACAATGCAGTTAACACAGTAAATTTTATGACAACTTACTTGATAATACAATATCTATAAAAAACATTTTGAGCTTCATAAAATACTTTAAAAAAGTTTATACCATGTTTAGATAAAAAAAAATATGCTTACAAATAGATTTTTTTGTTATGTTTTCCCCACATATTGAATGTTAAACATAAAATAATTATGTAGAAAAGGCAAAACATCTGCAGTCAGATGTGAATGCACCTGATGAAAGGAGATGTGGGATATAACTATATATCAATGATGCATCAACCCAACAGTAAGGCAACAATAAAGTAAACAAAACACAATTTAACACACAAATTTGACTCATGAATAGAAACTCCTTTAATCATTTTAATGCTGGAATAAATAAAAAGACCCTTGAATGTTACTACTGGATAACATTTATGGCATAAATGAATTTTGACTAACCATGCTACAGGGCACAATTTATATAAAAATTTCACATGAAAATATACAGTTTAGGTTCAAAGTATTTACAAATGTATAGTGATTTAATATTACATGTTAAATCTGAAAAGAATATAATTATGATGCTAACTTTGCTCGTTTAATATGTTTTTTATTTCTTTTTAACTTAAAACTATGTACATGTAGCAATTAACATGATGAAATATTTATAGATATTTTATTCACTGTAATTATTCATTTTGAGAAAAGATGCAACAACCTCCACAACCCTTGTTCAATATGAATCCTTAAGTACATGATGAAACAATTACTAATTGAATTAGCACATTTTGTTTAATCAACTGTGTTAAAATGGTAACTGTTATGACTCTGTGCATGGTTTCAGGAACATTAATTTAATAATATTGTTTTATTTTGATGATTAATGTTATTTTGAACCATCTAATACATATTCACTTTCAATGCCTTATATTATCAAATATATTCATGTTTTGTTGTCCATGATTTGGGAATTTTTAAAAAATTGAATGAAAATGCATACTTGCTAAATAAGACACTAAAATTAATAATTTTCATAAAATCTTATGGTCAGATCATATGTTTTCGTACACCGTCATATTAATTTGTACTATGCATGTTTTTTCAAGAAATAAAAATTCAAATTGTGACGTCACAATGCATCCTTAATAGAACAAAAACTATCAGCTGATAAAGCAAAACCAGGGAAATACTTGTAATCCAGCATTAGTAACACAATTATATGGATATGTACATGTAAAGATTGGTTGATTGTTGGTTATAAAAAGTCCAGTGACAAGTATTTCATGCAAATTTAAGACCCCAGAGTTAACAATACATTAACATACAATATGTATATGATGTATAGGTCCTGTAAAAGGTTATCCCGCACAGCAAAAGTTAACTAATGCCCCACATGTTAGAGTTTAACAGTTAGACGATGAAGATCAAGAGTAACCTTTTTTTATTCTCTTGACCTTGTCACCCTTTGGGTGATGTATGCAAAGTAAATAAGGGATTAAATGACATACACATGATAAAATGGGAGGGGAATGGTGTCATACATGAATTTCAATGATGCATACCTTTTCCAAGCCCAAATCCTAACTTTGCCTTGGAACATGAAACTATGCACGAGTGTGGTGATATAGTTCGTAGATTCATAGCCTGTCTGTAGGAAGAATAAATGTGCACATTTTCCCTTCAACAGTTCAAAATCTTGGATCCATGATTATTCGATAGACATGCTTTAAAATATTGTTCATTTCTACTCACCGATTGTAATTTCCAGCTCAGCTTATATTGTACATGTGGTCTAACATCTGTAGTCAGCTGTAGTTTCCTGTGTAAAATATAGTTTGCCGACCTGCAGGTCAACTTTTTCAAATATAAATTTGAATGAATTCATTAGCATCTTCTGCAATAATATTAAAACTCCATTTTTAAACGAAGGCTTCTGGTATGTAAAACCAGTTATGAACGAATCTGAATAGAAATAATAAAAAGTAAAGATATCTAAAGGAAAGTCAATGGCACATGTCAAAAATGAACGGACAATATGCTATGGCAATAAACGGACAACGACAAAAGACAAACAACGATCGCAAAATAGATAAATAAAAAAAGACAAAACAAGTCAACAACCGCACAATAGATGATAATAGTATAAATTATGGGCTATTTCACAACTATATCAAATCTTGAAAGCCGGGTGAAACGTATTTTTTTTTACACTGAGTTGCTACCGTGACACTAAAATATTTGTCGACTGCAACAACCTATGAAATGTTTGTTTTGAACATTTAACGACTGTCTCAACCTTTTAAAATTTGTAATAAACATTTTATGACTGTAACAACCTTTAAAAAGTTGTAACAAACATTTTACAACTGTCCCAACTCTAAAAACGTTGTAACAAACATTTTTTGACTGCATCAACGTCTGAAAAGTTGACACAAACAAATTTCAACTGTCCCAACTATTAAAAGGTTGGGACAAACATTATACAACTGCCACAACTTTTGGAAAGACTGTAATAAATAGTATTTGACTGTGACAACCCCGTAAACCACTGCAACAGTCCTTAAATGACTGTTTATAACATTTTTTGATTTTCACAACCCATAAAAGTGTTGGGACAGACATTAATCAACTGTATCAGTTTCTTTGACAGTCATCTTCAGTCTTCCACAGACTAAGACAGTCGTACAACAACTGTTACTGGTATGGACAGTTGTTTTTTCGTCCAGTAGTAATATATATATATATATATACGATTATTTCGATCTTACTATACGCTTATCACGTTCTCATAACGACCATATCACGATTTATCCGATTGCTATACGATATTACCACGCTTCTTCTGCGATTATAGCACGCTCTTACCATGATCATTATACGATCTTACCACGTTCATACCGCGATCGAACTACGACTCAGCAATAACGTCAACATCATGATCCTTATCTACCAGAACTCGTGGGCGTGGTGGTGGGGGGAAATGTAGTAAGATGGGCCTCTGGTACGAATCCTGATCCAGTACAGATGTCGGATCAAGCAATCCAACCTGAATCACAACGTATTGCTGATCTATCCAGATCAACTGCATGACGATATTTTATTGAACAAAAGTGGGAATGATACCCACGGGAAATGATACAGATGTGTAAAGCATGGTTGAGCTGTTGGATATTAGGGTCATGAGGTCCAAATTACATACAGACAAACAAAACATGGAGAGCTTTTATATATTTTATGTGACAATGACAATGAGCATGGCTAGAACTCGAAATGGTCGTAGTATGAACGTAGTCGGGTCGTAAGACGGTCGTGATGAGGACGGCATGAGCAGTGGCGGAGCCAGAAATTTTCATAAGGGGGGCCCACTGACTGCCTAAGAGGGGGCCCGCTCAAGTCATGCTTCAGTGGTTGCCTATTTAACGGGCAACCAAATTTTTCCCACAAAAGGGGGGCCGGGCCCCCTGGTAAACCCTCTAAATCCGCCTCTGATGAGCGTGCTAGAATCTTACTCAGGGGCGGATCCAGCCATTTTAAAAAGAGGGTGGGGTTCCAACCATATGTCCCTATTCAAATGCATTGATCGTCCAAAAAAAGGGGGATTCCAACCCCCGGAACTCACGTCTGGATCGGCCAATGGTATTATGGTTTTGATCAGCGTAGTATAAACGTGGTATAGTCGTAGTAGAAGCGTTGTTTGGTCGCGGGGAGAACGTGATGGTCGTAGTGAGGTCGTAATAACGTCGCTGTGAGATCGTAGCGCAATCTCTCGGACTAGATTCGCGTTTACGCTTTGCTCTCGCTACGATGGTACAGCGACCTTTGCGATCTTACCACGACCTTACTGCGCTCTCGCTACGCTTCTACTACGACCTGATTTCGGCACGACCGCACCACGATTGTCTTGAACATGTTCAAAGTTGGCCACGCTCATCATGATCATGAAGACCTCACCACGACCTTACAGCGATCTTCACGATCGCACTACGATCGTCAAAATTTGCATTTTTTTCAGAGATCGTAGTGCGATCGTGGCCTAGTGTGACTGCGGCATAAGGAGCACTATTAACACTTAAAACAATAAGTCAAAAACTCAAATACAAACTGTATGTACATAGTTTGAAAAACTGGATTCCCCACTTTACTTTATTTCGTGTCATTCTTTTTTTATGTTTTTGACCCAAGAACAGAATTCAATCCCTCAAAACAACCAGATAACTACTTTTTCATGTAGTATGTCTCTGCTTGAACATAACATATTGTGAATAAAAGCACTGAAAACAAATTTTCAAAAGTGTTGGACAGACTGAATATTCCTGGATCATTTGATTCCATTTTATTTGTTCTTGAAAACTGGGACCATTTGTATTAAACCTAGTTGAAAATAATCCAAGTCAATATCCTTTTGAGTTCTCATTCTAATTTTCATTGCCTTTGGTGGCTATTTTGAATTCTCTGTTGACCCAAAATAGTACCTATTGTGAATATGACTGTAATTGGCTGTTATGTTTAGTTTCAATGAGTTGGCTGGTTTAAGAGGAAGCCTTGGTGGTTGGTTATCTTGTCGGAATTATTTTACACTTTGTAATCTTTGTCTCTTTCATAGATTGCTACACAATGCCATACATAACAGTTTCTGTTACCTGTATTTTCTAACACTTACTTTGGTTTCTGGTGGAAAGTTGTTGCATTGGCGATCATACCACATCTCCCTATTTTATATTGATACAGATCCAAGAAAATAGAAGCTACAAGTATCATTCTATTAAACATACAAAATTTCTGAGAAAGGCAATTCTGTACTTTTGGATATATGCTTTTTTTAATTCTAGACAATTTTAGTCAACTTGAACTTTCACATAGACAGTTAATTTATATGTGAGCCTGTCTGTTTTATTTAAATGGTTGACAATATATCATTTATCCATTTCATATCCTTGTGACATTAAAATATTCTGAGCATACATGTAACATGACATGAGAAGAAAGATAGTCACACATACCAAATAGTTCTTATATTTGGGATATTACATGTGACTGTAAATACTAATATAAATGTTAGTATTTTCATGATAACAGGTCTAATAACCACTTGACTTGGTTAAAAAAATTCTTGGATTCTATGAAAAGGAATGCTTTTCTTTTTATATGCAGCTTGAAAATGTTGAGTTGATGCCTATTAGGAATTTAAAGATCTGCCATGTCTGCTGTGCAGCTACATCTTGTTTCCTGGTATTTCAGAATTAATTGCATGCAGCCACAAAGGTCCAGACCTGGTATTTTCAACATCTTTTCTGGTACATGTAGCTCATTTTTACCTGAAAAAGAGGAGAGTCATATAGATATTTTGATAATATAAAAAAAGAATAAACAAAATTGGCATGTAATTAATATATAAAGATCAGTGGCAGATCCATAAATTTTCATAAGAGGGGACCAAGTCATGTTTCAGTGATTCTCTATATAATCAACCAAATTTTTCCAATAAAATGGTTGGCAGCCCACTGCCCCCTTTCTAAATCCACCTGTGAAGATAAAATTGTCTTATTGTTACTGCTGATTCATTCAATTGTGTATACAACAGAGGAAAACAGTCCAATAAAATTATATTTTCTAGAAGTATGTTAGATGACTAATGTACTATTAACAAACAAGTCCATTTGCCTTGCTTATATACTCAAAAGACAAAAAAAAATGTTTTTTTTCAACTGAAATATAGAACTCTTATAAATGTTTGTACATTCACTGATAAGCTGATACGTCATTTCTAATAATTATATCATACATGTATATGTACTTACACCTTAAATTCAAACAGTCTCTGTATGTACATGTATCTCTTTCTTTCCATTTCCCATACCTCTGCAATCAGAACAGCATCTGCAACAACCAAAATTTAAAGGTGTGAAAAAAAAAATTGAAATTTTCAAAGTGCAATAATATCAAAACAGCAACGATAATGAATATTAGAGATTAGCCATTTTGCACATATACATGTACCAAGGGGAAACTCCTTTCAAAGCTATATTTTATTTATTGTTTCATTGCATTAAATAGAAAATAGGGATAATGTGGTGCAAAAAGCATATAAGATTTTTGAAGAAAATTCACAGACTTTATACAGAGATTTTCGTTATAAAATTTATAACATAGATTACTCACTTGTTTGTCCATGATGTGCTAGCGTTTGTTATTTACAAAAAGGCTTAAACAACCTTTACATTCTAAAAAACCTTGTGCTGAGTCACTAAAGTCGAGTGCACCCTAGAAGGTGTACTTGAATTGGTCCATATTTATATTTGTCCTAACCAATATTTTGATTTATAAACTTGTCCTAAGGAAATCATTGCTAGCACTGCATGCAATAATGCTCTATCTATCAAGCATAGAATGGTCAAACATTAGATTACAAGGGAACGGCTGGATTTTCTTTAAAATTTCCATGTTTAGCATTGAAACAACAAAAGGGTACATAATCCTTAAAGAGCTATAATTAAGAGCTCATGTTCCTTGTTATTGATATTTATATATGCAACCGACTTTAAATAAAGATTACTTTGCTATACTTTACTTAAATGACTATGAGACAAACTTTTCATATAATCAGACATATTGTCTCATTGGCACTCATACCCATCTTCTTATATCTATATACAAACTGTATATTATTTCAAACAAAGCTGTCCAGTCTTTTGTTTTTATTTATGGTCATGATCATGGATTAAAAAAATATGAGTAAATATACTTAAAAGTTTATAGGCAGATCCAGAGGGGGGGGGGGGCAGCCCCCCTTGGGTCAGTCAGTTGGCCCCCCTTATAAAAAGTTCTGGATCCGAAACTGAAAATCACTTTGGTTGCCTTTATGAAAGGAGCAATAATGCTTACCATGTGCAAAGATTTAATATTGACCTGACAATTAAACAATGACTGAGAGTATACAACAGTACAACATGGTACATTTTTGTAAAAAATATACATGACTATATCAAGCAATGACAATGTAAATTATATAATAAAATCTAGGGTATTATTCACTTACATTCTGCCAACACTTAAAGTAGGAACTATTTCTATGTTTCGTCATGACTGTGAGGTAAACAATTTGTGAGGTGGTGTTTGATTAGCATATCAATAGAACAACAACAATGTCAACATGCAACTGCAAACTTGTTATTTTGTTGATTGATTTTATTTTTGTCATTCAATATCGAGTAGCAGAACTTTATACACCATTTGTTATGGATAATATGTCAAAAAATAGAATAGTTTATCTTTTTATTTCATTTTCTTGAAAAAAGTTGTAATCGCAAGTATCTTGCGATTTCGTTTCAATAATTTTCAATAGCACAACTTTTTGGTCGTCTGGTTACAATAGTTTTTACAGTGCGATTATTATTGTCATGTAGATAGATCGCAAGATCATGTTATGAAATATTATGTGGCAGACTTACGTGTCATTCTGATATATACGATCAGCTAAATCAACCTTTTTGTAAACACAAAACTCGGTCTTCCCCGCATAAACATGGCGGTTGCATTATAGTAAGGAGTTGTTTCCCCTTACTGGTTGCACAGTGCAGAAACCGGAAGTTGAAGAACAGGATCGGCTACCACGGCGCCACCTATTCAGGAACGATAATTCGCTATTTATATAACTGCGAAATAACAATAACGTTAGACGGGTTCGCGTGCATAAACAGAAATGCGCTTTAAATTGTATAATATTATTCATGTTCAGTCGACCTTTAATTATTATATCAACGACTGAAATGATTTATAAACATCTAGATTGCAGATAACACTCGAAATTAACCCGACCTCTTTCCACACGGAATTCAAATAATTCTAGTTTGTCAATCGGTTGACTGCTTATTGTTATATAGTACGTTATAGTGTTTGTTACCTTATCAGGCTAGACCGGTAATTAGTTAGACCGGAAGTGGGAGATTGTCGTCAGGACGAAGATTAAAATAAACAATTAATTTCCCCATAGGCGACAATGATAGCCTTTTTCGAGATACTGACTTTAGAAAGTTGATTTTTTTTAACGAAACCTTGCTAGAATTAAAGAAAAGTTATTAGGACAGTATTTTTTGGTCCAAAAAATATAGGTTCGCGTTGCTTTTCTTAGCGTAATTTGTACTTATCTCCCATGCCTATCAATTTTGCACTTAAAAATACGTGTCTCATCCTAGCGTTTAAAAGACATCTCAGTTCCGTTAGGGCTAAGGAAAATAATTTATTAGGCCTTTGGTATAATGCAGAATGCACGAAGTCTCTAATAACAAAAAATAACGGGCGCACATATCAACCAATCAGGATTAGCTATACTCTTAATTCTGAATACCATGTTATGCTCATAAAATGGCTGCGCCCATAAAATCTAATGGTGTATTGTAACCTATACGGTATTTAATACTTTCTAGAATCATGCAATTCATAGTTCGTTAGATGCACTAATATATATGCCACACAAAAATCATCTACAAAACGTTCTGGCATTACTCTCTGAATTTTCACAATTTTTTTATCAGAGGTGACCCCAGTCAAAAAATGTGAAAAAAAAATTTCTGATTTTTTGAGTAAATGCGGTACTGCTAAAAAGGGCCTGAAGATAATGTCCACTTTCTCCAATGATTCTTTATATGTCATCAAGTACTGATTATATTGATACCAAAACCGATCCAATATGTAACTACTACGGTGAATTTTGAACAAAAGTTTTAAATGAAACCATTTTCGTATACAAGTACATTTTTGAAACAGACTATAGCATTTCAAAATATAAAAAAATGTGTAAATATTTGCGTTTAAACATCGAAAACTATTCGTTAACTGCAAATGTCATGCCTATTTTAATTTTTATAGTCTGCCATTCGAGTGAACATTTCAATGTTCGAAGGGGATCATTTCTGTACATTTTCACTGAATTTGGTAATTTCGATAACAGCACTTGGATCGAGATTGTCATGTTTAAAAATCGATTTGTATATTGAAACTCTAGACGTGTACGTGCTTTTTTCAAACAAATCAGCAGAAGTTCAGAAAATGACATATTCTCTCCACAGTAAGTCAAAAGTCGAACCCACCCTTGTTTCTAAGGTAAAACGCAATACAAATATGAAACAGACTATAGCTTAAAAACTAGTTAATCAATAATTCATTTGTCACCAAAAAATACGGTTTCACATCAAATATCAAGTAAAATTACTGTTTTTGACACTTTTTGAGCACTATGATAAAGAAATGTCGACGCTGTATACGGTATTTAATACTTTCTAGAATCATGCAATTCATAGTTCGTTAGATGCACTAATATATATGCCACACAAAAATCATCTACAAAACGTTCTGGCATTACTCTCTGAATTTTCACAATTTTTTTATCAGAGGTGACCCCAGTCAAAAAATGTGAAAAAAAAATTTCTGATTTTTTGAGTAAATGCGGTACTGCTAAAAAGGGCCTGAAGATAATGTCCACTTTCTCCAATGGTTCTTTATATGTCATCAAGTACTGATTATATTGATACCAAAACCGATCCAATATGTAACTACTACGGTGAATTTTGAACAACAGTTTTAAATGAAACCATTTTCGTATAAAAGTACATTTTTGAAACAGACTATAGCATTTCAAAATATAAATAAATGTGTAAATATTTGTGTTTAAACATCGAAAACTATTCGTTAACTGCAAAATGTCATGCCTATTTTAATTTTTATAGTCTGCCATTCGAGTGAACATTTCAATGTTCGAAGGGGATCATTTCTGTACATTTTCACTGAATTTGGTAATTTCGATAACAGCACTTGGATCGAGATTGTCATGTTTAAAAATCGATTTGTATATTGAAACTCTAGACGTGTACGTGCTTTTTTCAAACAAATCAGCAGAAGTTCAGAAAATGACATATTCTCTCCACAGTAAGTCAAAAGTCGAACCCACCCTTGTTTCTAAGGTAAAACGCAATACAAATATGAAACAGACTATAGCTTAAAAACTAGTTAATCAATAATTCATTTGTCACCAAAAAATACGGTTTCACATCAAATATCAAGTAAAATTACTGTTTTTGACACTTTTTGAGCACTATGATAAAGAAATGTCGACGCTGTATACGGTATTTAATACTTTCTAGAATCATGCAATTCATAGTTCGTTAGATGCACTAATATATATGCCACACAAAAATCATCTACAAAACGTTCTGGCATTACTCTCTGAATTTTCACAATTTTTTTATCAGAGGTGACCCCAGTCAAAAAATGTGAAAAAAAAATTTCTGATTTTTTGAGTAAATGCGGTACTGCTAAAAAGGGCCTGAAGATAATGTCCACTTTCTCCAATGGTTCTTTATATGTCATCAAGTACTGATTATATTGATACCAAAACCGATCCAATATGTAACTACTACGGTGAATTTTGAACAACAGTTTTAAATGAAACCATTTTCGTATAAAAGTACATTTTTGAAACAGACTATAGCATTTCAAAATATAAATAAATGTGTAAATATTTGTGTTTAAACATCGAAAACTATTCGTTAACTGCAAAATGTCATGCCTATTTTAATTTTTATAGTCTGCCATTCGAGTGAACATTTCAATGTTCGAAGGGGATCATTTCTGTACATTTTCACTGAATTTGGTAATTTCGATAACAGCACTTGGATCGAGATTGTCATGTTTAAAAATCGATTTGTATATTGAAACTCTAGACGTGTACGTGCTTTTTTCAAACAAATCAGCAGAAGTTCAGAAAATGACATATTCTCTCCACAGTAAGTCAAAAGTCGAACCCACCCTTGTTTCTAAGGTAAAACGCAATACAAATATGAAACAGACTATAGCTTAAAAACTAGTTAATCAATAATTCATTTGTCACCAAAAAATACGGTTTCACATCAAATATCAAGTAAAATTACTGTTTTTGACACTTTTTGAGCACTATGATAAAGAAATGTCGACGCTGTATAGATTGAAATAAACAATTAATTTCCCCATAGGCGACAATGATAGCCTTTTTCGAGATACTGACTTTAGAAAGTTGATTTTTTTAACGAAACCTTGCTAGAATTAAAGAAAAGTTATTAGGACAGTATTTTTGGTCCAAAAAATATAGGTTCGCGTTGCTTTTCTTAGCGTAATTTGTACTTATCTCCCATGCCTATCAATTTTGCACTTAAAAATACGTGTCTCATCCTAGCGTTTAAAAGACATCTCAGTTCCGTTAGGGCTAAGGAAAATAATTTATTAGGCCTTTGGTATAATGCAGAATGCACGAAGTCTCTAATAACAAAAAATAACGGGCGCACATATCAACCAATCAGGATTAGCTATACTCTTAATTCTGAATACCATGTTATGCTCATAAAATGGCTGCGCCCATAAAATCTAATGGTGTATTGTAACCTATACGGTATTTAATACTTTCTAGAATCATGCAATTCATAGTTCGATAGATGCACTAATATATATGCCACACAAAAATCATCTACAAAACGTTCTGGCATTACTCTCTGAATTTTCACAATTTTTTTTATCAGAGGTGACCCCAGTCAAAAAATGTGAAAAAAAAATTTCTGATTTTTTGAGTAAATGCGGTACTGCTAAAAAGGGCCTGAATATAATGTCCACTTTCTCCAATGGTTCTTTATATGTCATCAAGTACTGATTATATTGATACCAAAAACCGATCCAATATGTAACTACTACGGTGAATTTTGAACAACAGTTTTAAATGAAACCATTTTCGTATAAAAGTACATTTTTGAAACAGACTATAGCATTTCAAAATATAAAAAATGTGTAAATATTTGTGTTTAAACATCGAAAACTATTCGTTAACTACAAAATGTCATGCCTATTCTAATTTTTATAGTCTGCCATTCGAGTGAACATTTCAATGTTCGAAGGGGATCATTTCTGTACATTTTCACTGAATTTGGTAATTTCGATAACAGCACTTGGATCGAGATTGTCATGTTTAAAAATCGATTTGTATATTGAAACTCTAGACGTGTACGTGCTTTTTTCAAACAAATCAGCAGAAGTTCAGAAAATGACATATTCTCTCCACAGTAAGTCAAAAGTCGAACCCACCCTTGTTTCTAAGGTAAAACGCAATACAAATATGAAACAGACTATAGCTTAAAAACTAGTTAATCAATAATTCATTTGTCACCAAAAAATACGGTTTCACATCAAATATAAAGTAAAATTACTGTTTTTGACACTTTTTGAGCACTATGATAAAGAAATGTCGACGCTGTATAGATTGAAATAAACAATTAATTTCCCCATAGGCGACAATGATAGCCTTTTTCGAGATACTGACTTTAGAAAGTTAATTTTTTTAACGAAACCTTGCTAGAATTAAAGAAAAGTTATTAGGACAGTATTTTTGGTCCAAAAAATATAGGTTCGCGTTGC